GTCCCTTTTCTTTTTCCAAATTTGAGAAAATTTTTTTGTTATTATTTCACTAAAAGGCCTTCTAGTCCTTTCTCTCTTTCTACTCCTTCAGAAACTCCTAGAACCCATATGTTTGGTTGTTTGATAGTATCATGTAGATTCCCAACAGTTTTTTTTTTTTATTTGACAGGTAGAGTTATAAAGTGAGAGAGACTGAGAGAAAGAGAGAAAGGTCTTCCTTCCATTGGTTTACCCCCCAAATGGCCGCCATGGCTGGCACTGCACTGATCTGAAGCCAGGAGCCAGGTGATTCCTCCTGGTCTCCCATGGGGGTGCAGGGGCCCAAGCACTTGGGCCATCCTCCACTGCCTTCCCGGGCCACAGCAGAGAGCTGGACTGGAAGAGGAGCAACTGGGACTAGAACCTGGTGCTCATATGGGATGCCGATGTTGAAGGTGGAGGATTAACCAAGTGAGCCACCCAACAGTGTTTTTAAAGAGTTTTCTAATTTCTTCTTGTTTTTTGTCTGACTGGATAATTTCTTGTGCTTGTCTTCTAAGTCAGATATTCTTTTTTCTGCTTCACCAATTTTGTTGTTAAGTCTTTTCACTGCATTTTTTATTTGTTCTGTTGAATTCTTCATTTCATCTTGATTTCTCTTTAGGATCTCAATTTTGTGGGAGAAATTTTCTTTCATGTCATGCATGGATTTCAGTAATTCATGCATTTGCTTCTGATTACTTCCAAGTAATCCTATGATCAATTTTTTGAATTCCATTTCTTGCATTTCTTCCCTCTCATCATCTTCACCACCTAGTATTCAAGTGTATTCTTTTGGGGTCATCATGTTGTCTTCCTTATTCTTGTTTCTGGAATTGCTGTATTTGTTACTCATTGTATCTCCATGAATACTTTTTTTTTCCTCTGTGGTAGCTTTTATCTTTGGACTATGTCTAAGTGGATTAGTGGAGCTTCTTCTGGGTCTCCCATGCAGGTGTAGGGGCCCAAGAACTGGGGCCATCTTCTACTACTTTCCCAGGCCACAGCAAAGAGCTGGATTGGAATTGGAGCAGTTGTGACTTGAGCTAGTGCTGTATGGGATGCTGGCACTACAGGCGGTGGCTTTAACCACTATGCCACAGTGCTGGCCCCAGTTAGCTAAGTTTTTATGTTCATTCATGTGGGTCTTGCATATTGCTTACTGAGTTATTCTATGTTTTCTTTATTCTGTTCCTGCTGAGAATGTGGTGTCCCCCATTACCTGTCCTAATTGATTACTGATGATGAGAAGAAAGTTACCAATATTAATATACTGATCTCATCTCTTTTGGTGTTTTTTTTTTTTTTGACAGGCAGAGTGGACAGTGAGAGAGAGAGAGAGAGAGAGAGAGAAATGTCTTCCTTTGCCGTTGGTTTACCCTCCAATGGCCGCTGCGGCCAGCGTGCTGCGGCCGGTGCACTGTGCTGATCCGATGGCAGAAGCCAGGTACTTCTCCTGGTCTCCCATGGGGTGCAGGGCTCAAGCACTTGGGCCATCCTCCACTGCACTCCCTGGCCACAGCAGAGAGCTGGCCTGGAAGAGGGGCAACTGGGACAGAATCTGGCGCCCTGACCGGGACTAGAACCCGGTGTGCCGGCGCCGCAAGGTGGAGGATTAGACTAGTGAGCCGCGGCACTGGCCTTGCTGGTTTTTCAACCTACTATTTCTTTTTTTTTTTAAGTTATTTGTCAGAAAGTAAATTTTCATTGCCTTCTTAACAGATTCCATTTATTTATTTATTTATTTGACAGGCAGAATGGACAGTGAGAGAGAGAGAGACAGAGAGAAAGGTCTTCCTTTTGCCGTTGGTTCACTCTCCAATGGCCGCCGTGCTGCTCCGAAGCCAGGAGCCAGGTGCTTCTTCTGGTCTCCCATGCGGGTGCAGGGCCCAAGCACTTGGGCCATCCTCCACTGCACTCCTGGGCCATAGCAGAGAGCTGGCCTGAAAGAGGGGCAACTGGGACAGAATCTGGCACCCTGACCAGGACTAGAACCTGGTGTGCCGGTGCTGCAAGGTGGAGGATTAGCCTAGTGAGCCATGGTGCCGGCCTCAACCTACTATTTCAATATTATGTATTTCAGGAAGTTCATAGAAAATGAAATTAAAATGTAGGGGTTTTTTTGGTGCAAAAAATGAAATCCATGCAAACAAGGAGTTTTTAAAAAGGTTCATGGAACACGCATATTGTGAAAAACTATGGATTTCCAAATTTTTGTACCAAAATAATTATTTCCATTTTTTCATGGACATCCTGAAGTATTCTCATATTTAAGTTCACTCATAAGTACCCCAAGTTTTTCTTTTTCTTTTTAATAAATATTTATTTATTTGAAAGAATTACAGAGGGTGGGGGAGAGAGTTCGATCCTCCATCTGTTGGTTCACCCCCCAGATGACTGCAATGGCCAGGCCGAGCCAGCCAAAGCTAGGAACCCGGAGCTTTATCTGGGTCTCCCACTTGGGTAGCAGGGGCCATCTTCTGAAGCTCTTCCCAGACAATTAGCGGGGAGCTGGATCAGAAGTGGAAAAGCTAGGACATGAACCACCACTCATATGGGATGTTGGTGTTGCAGGCAGCAGCGTTACCTGCACACCAAAGCATCAGCACTGCCGCCTCCACACCACTTTATTTTCTTATCTTATTGCATTGCCTAGAACCTCCAGAATAATGCAAGTTCTAGGATTCCCTGGCTTGTTCTCAGACTTTAGTGCACAGGCATGTGGATCGCTGCTGTAGAACTCTAGCAAACTCATCCTATCAAGTAAGTGTCTCATCGACTCACAGCTTAGTAAGAGTATTTCCCTTGGATCAGACATTTGGTGCAGCAGCTAAGACATCACTTGGGATGCCCATATCCCATAACGGAGTGCCTGGGTTTGAGTCCCAACTCTGTTCTCCATTCCAGCTTCCTTGGAGGCCATGCAGGTGATGGCTCAATAGTTGGGTCTCTGCCACCCATGTAGACTTGAGTTGAGATCCAGGCTCCTGACTTTGGCCTAGGGACTTGGGGAGTGAACCAATGAATGGAAGGAAGGTCTGTTTCTGTGCCTTCGAGAAATTGATTTTGTATTATTTTTAAATAGGTTGTAACTTGTTAAGTGTTTTATCACTTAATAAACAATTTCATGAATAGATATTAAAAATGTCAAAAATCTGCTATAATATGGATGCAACTTGAAGACACTATGCTAAAAGAAATGAGCCACACACAAAAAGACAAATACTGTATGACTGCACTTACTTGAGTTCCCTGAGTAGACAAGTTATGGAGGCAGAAAATAAAGTAGAGGTACCAGGGCCAGAGGAAGAGGAACGGGAAGTTATTGTTTAATGGATGCAGACTTCCTGTTTGGGAAGATGGAAAAATTCTGGAGGCAGATGGTGGTAACAGTTGCACAACAGTGTGAATGTACCTAATGCCACTGACCTGCACTTTTAAAAAAATGGGCAAAAGGGTACATTTTATGCTCTGTATATTTTACTATAATTAAAAAGTAGAAATAGCATTATATAATAGAGAGATGGAGAGATAAATATGTATTGCCCTTTAAAAATACACTTCTATAGTGCTTAATTTTATGTTATATTCTTATAAGTTTAAAGGTTTTTCTTAACAGCCCCAGAAAAGCCTTCCATTTTCATTACAAAACCAACCACCTCTCACTGGCCCATCGTCTAAGCTGGAACACAACTAATCTGATGTCCCTGACAGTATCTCAATGCTGTATTCCTGTGAGAAACAGCAAAGGTAATGCCCCAGGCTTCTTGTGGTTTTGGGATAACAGAAGGCAAGTTTGTTGTTTTTTAATGATTCTGTGCCTGTTTTAACTTAGTGAGGAATGCTCAGATGCAACCATCTCAGACACAGAAACCATTTCATTCTGGAGGTGAGGTGACTCAGTCTAAGGTGACCCCAGGATCCCCCCAAAGTGAGTGCCCTATAACCAGATGAAGACAAAGACCTGGGTGGGGCAGGTGGCCAAGTTCTTCTGAGAGCATTTGCTGCTTTCCAGGTGGAGATGGGCGGTAGGCAATTTAGGAGAAGCTGAGGAGAGGGCCTGCAGCTGGGAGAGACTAGATCTCACCACACAGGCAGAGTAGGGGTCCACAGCACAGCAAGATGGCAGAGGAGGACCCAGGGTGGTGGTCTGGGACCCAGGGGGCAGGGGCTTGAGAGAACGGGAAGCCAGGGAGGAGAAGAGTGGGTAGTCTCACATACCAAGGGGAAGAGAAGCACTAGAAAAAGGGCAGACCCTGTGTCGCATCCTGGAGAGAACTGGAGAGGAACCTCAGACTTGACCCTGACGAGGACTTTCTTGACCGTGACCTGAGATATTTCAGAAAGAAACAGGGATGAGATGAGAGCCGGGGGCCATTGCCCTGTCCCCAGGGTGAGAAGACAGTGCCTGGTGCAGGCAGCATGGGTGTACAGATGACAGGTGGATAAAGGACAGATGACTAAACATGCAGACGTTTAAGCAGATACATGGACAAGTGGATGAAGGGTGGCTGCGTGAATACACAGATGCTGGACAAATGGATGGACGTCCTGGGCACAGAGCAATCAACAGCTGCAAAGTATGGTCTGAGGAGGCTTCATGGATGAGGTGGGGTGGATCTGCATCTCCATGAACAGACACCAAAGCAGGGGTGTCTCCATAATGCTTTGAGTCAGACATGGCCCCGTGTCCTTAGGTCTAGGGATATGAGAAAACTTACAGACCCTAAAATAAGGCCGCATCCCTTGGTCACCTGAGAGGGATACATCACTGTGATTTGCTGAGCTCCTGCTGTGCACAGCAGCACAGTCAACACAGTTTGCAGGAAGGACACACTGGGGTCACTCCAAGGCTGCCTTGGACAGGGTGCCAGAACTCTGGGGGGGGGGGGGGGGGGCTGGCCAGCCACCTGCACTGTGCCGAGAATGCAGCCCTACCTGCTGAACCTGTGCCTGTAATGCCCCACAGGTTGCCGCTCCAGCCCAGGCCCCCAAGAGGCAGGCCCCAGGTGCTGGCCCCACGGGTTTTGGTCTGAGTCTCAGTCATGGTGGTATATCTTTGGCAGTGGGACCCAGCTCTCAGTCACAGGTAAGTGGCTCTCCAAGCCTCTCCCTGCCATCCCACCTCCTGCTGTCTGTGCAAAGTCTGTTTTCTCTCCCTGGGGACTTTGCCCTTCTGCCTCTCCCACCTTTAGGGTCCTTGCCTTTCACCATGGGTTGTGGGAGAGGTAGGTGGTCTCAGGACAGCTCACAGAAAGGATCCCAGCAGCAGGAGCCTTCCTATCCCAACACTCGGACATGGCCAGGTCTGGGGACCTGGGCTAGGGGTTGCTCAGGGACAGGGGCTCCTTCCCTCTTCTAAGGCAGGTCCCTGAAAAGGGGCAGAGACTGGTTCTGATCAGAGGTTCCAGCAGGCATTAGAGACAGCCCCTGACTCTCCAGGGTCTGGGTTGAGGGCCTGAGGTCCATCTAGGCTGGGAGAAGCACCCAGGAGGCCCAGGGGCATGGCCGGGGCTGTGACCCCAGCACCCAGAGGCACAGGATCCCTCTGAGGGAGGGCCAGCAGAGGGTGGAAAGGGCTCTGACTCTTGCTAGGCTGTGCTATCTGAGCCTCTGCTGGGCCATGAGGACACAGGGACACTGAGGGACAGGACAGACTGGGTGAGGTGACCAGAGCCCAGGGCTAGTCACAAAGGAGCAGATCTGGAGCCCCTGGGGCCCATGTCTCCCCTGACCATGGCCTGGCCTCCTGCCTTCCCTGAAGGTCACAGTATACCCAGTGGCCCAGGAAGGGGGAGCAGAGGGCAGCTCAGAGAAGCTCTGGCTGCCGGGTGGAATGAGAGGCTGCTGGGGCAGCCATGGGGGTCACTCTGCCCTGGTTTGGGGAGCATTCCCAGGAGCCAAAGCAAAAGTGAGCCACTGGGGGGAGGGGGGCCTCACTGGGACAGAGCCTGAGGGGGCAGGAGGCTTCAGGACCCTCCCTCACATGCCGAGCACAGGCTGGGGCCGTCCCCACACAGCCCTGACTGTGCTGCTGGGAGGGTGGGACCTTTGTTCAGAGGAGTCTCCAGGCACTGAAAGAATGAAGTGGAGGCCTTGGCTGGGGCTGGGGTTCAGCAGGTCAGGGCCAGATTCCAATCTCAGCCTCTGGGGACCGGAGAGGAGCAAGGCTGCCCAGTTATGAAGGGGAAGCTGAGGCTGCAGAGGGGATGAGCAGGGTCTACTCAACTGGGAGAGACTTGGAAGGGCTTTGGGAGGGGGCAGGACTGTTTGTTCCCTAGGCAGCTGATGGGCAGGAGGGGAAGAGAAAGGAGCATGGTCCCTGGCGGGGGGGCGGGAAAGGATGGGGACAGATGGTTGCATTGTGAGAGAGCTCCCCAACACCCAGACCCATCTCTGCTATGTCACATCCCTCTGTCCCTGCAGGTCAGCCTGTGGTCGCCCCCTTGGTCACTCTGTTTCCACCCTCCTCAGAGGAGCTCAAGGCCAACAAGGCCACCCTGGTGTGTCTGATCAGTGACTTCTACCCAGGCACAGTGACAGTGGCCTGGAAGGCAGATGGAGTCACCATCACCCAGGGTGTGGACACCACCCAGCCCTCTAAACAGAGCAACAACAAGTACATGGCCAGCAGCTTCCTCAGCCTTTCACGTGGACAGTGGACATCGCATAGCCGCTTCACTTGCCAGGTCACCCATGAGGGGAAAACCACGGAGAAGAGCGTGGCCCCTGCACACTGTCCTTAGGGACCAACTCTCACCCACCCATGGGGTCTGGAAGCTGCAGGACCCCAGGAAAGGGCTTCTCCTTCCACCCCTTCCCTGATATCCTGGCCCTCCCCACCCCTGCATCCAATAAACTCTCAATAAACATCCTCATTGTCAATTAGACATCCTGCTTGGTCTCATTTTTTTTAGTCTCTTATTTAATCTGCAACCTGCCTGGAGTTCTCTGGTTGGGGGAGTTTCCCACACCCAGTGAGGAGGCAGCCCAAGGGGCGAGACTCGGGGTCTTCTGAGGACGTCACACAGGAAACACCCCAGGAAGGAGAAGTTTGGTCACTGACATCAGGGCCTCTGACCTCTCCTTTCTCCCCTTCCTCCTCCCAGGAGAGGGCCCCCCACTCCTTGCCTCTCTCTTGGGTGGAGACGTCCTTGACTGACCTCTGCATCCTCCCACCCCATGCCTTCTTTCCTCAGCTTGAACCTCCTCTGCCCCTGGCCCCTGCCCCCTGGAAAGTACTCACCTCCTCTTCCCTGCTCAGCTCCTGCCTGCCTGCCTCCATTCCCCATCACCCCTGGTGACCTGGACAGCTCACAGGGCACACAATGCTTCAGAGCTACTGGATTCATGGGCTTTGAAATTCAGTGGCTGCCTTGAGTCCTCACTCCATGGCAGCTTCAGAGGCAAAGGGGAACAGAGAAACCCAGGAAAGAAACTGTCTCACAAAGGGACTGCCAGGAGGCAGGCACCTGAGGGGTCTGGCCAGGCAACAGGAACTCCACAGGAGACTCAGCCACCAGCTAGGGAAGGAGCTGGAGGAACCTTCAGAGAACTGGGTCAGGATCTCCCCCACAGCCAACCTGAGACTGATGGCAAAGAGAAACCCGAGAGACCCCCCCAGGCTCAAGAACGTGTCACGTGGTCCCAGTGGCACATCAGAGCCTCTGTGGGATCAGGCTGAGCGGGACCCACGGCCATGCTTGAGCCTTTCCTGCCATAACCACTCTCAACCGCCACAGCTTCCTCCTGAGAGCACTGCTCACACAGCAAGGGTCTGTTGTGGAAAATTTCCTGCTGGGGCCCTCAGAAAGCCCTGGGCTTTTCCAGAAACTTCTGGGGGATATGGGTAGAGTTGTCATTTATTCAGGCAGGGAAACAACCCAGAAGTGGGAGCAGGAGGTACCACATGTTTCTCTTAGAAAAGAGTATTTATTGGAGGGATACAGACAGAGACACAGCTAGACAGAACTCCCATCTCTTGGTTTCTCTCCTCAATGTCCACAGTGACAGGGACTGGACTGATGCTGAGACCTGGGAGCAGGTCTCCCATGTGGGAGGCAGCAAACAATTACTCAGCCATCACCACTGCCTCCTAGGGTCTGCATCAGCAGGAAGCTGGGGTCAGCAGCTGGAGTAGGAATGGAACCCAGGTATTCCAATGTGGACACTAGGCTACATGGCCCCTCCCTACAACACACCTGTGCTGAGCACCTCCTGTTTCCAGGAACTGTCTAGAGTGTCAGGACTTCTCTTGTGCATGCAGCATGAAGGAGTGAGGTCCTTCCATGAGGACTGCAGGCCGGAAAATCATTAGTACATTTTTTCTGTGTATAGTCATGTAAATATGGCAATAACCTTAGAAATCTTATCTTGTGTGCTTATAATTACTTATTGAAAATGACAAATTTGTCAGTGCCGTGGCTCACTAGGCTAAACCTCCACATGCGCACCAGCACCCCAGGTTCTAGTCCCGGTTGGGGTGCCGGATTCTGTCCCGGTTGCTCCTCTTCCAGGCCAGCTCTCTGTGTGACCCAGGAGTGCAGTGGAGGATGGCCCAAGTGCTTGGGCCCTGCACCCCATGGGAGACCAGGAGGAAGCACCTGGCTCCTGGCTTCAGATTTGGGAAATGCCGGCAGCAGTGTGCCGGCTGTAGGGGCCACATGGTGGGTGAACCAAAGGAAAAAGGAAGACCTTTCTCTCCGTCTCTCTCTCTCACTGTCTAACTCTGCCTGTCCAAAAAAAAAAAATGACAAATTTAATGAGACATTTATTAATTTCTTAATTCTTAAATAATTTGAAATTTCTGTCTTGGAAATCACCTGAACATACAGTTTGATATTTGAATGCAGTACTCCTGCAATTATCGACTATCATCATTCTCTGGCCAGGAACAGTCTGAATTTTTTTATTTTTGTGGGACAAAACGGTAACATGACATCCACTATCTAGACAACATAGCTAATGAAAGATATAAGCTCAGGAGCAGATATTTAGGATTCTCATTTCCTGTGTATCTGAAACTATTTCTGTTGAACACCAAATCTCCATGTCCATCCCCAGCTCAGAGCAAGACCCCTCTTCTGTTTTTATGAGATTGGCAGCTGGAACACCACCTGTGTGTCTAAGTAGAATCACAGAGGACTGGCCCTCCTTTGACTGCCTTATTTCACTGAGAACGACCCAGCATCCCGATTCTGGACGAATCGCGAGAAGAATTGAAACTGGGATGGAAACATCTATACGCTGCCATGTTTTCTGCAGCACTATCCCTACCAACTGAGACATGGAAACAAGTTCGGCATCCACTGACGGATGAAGGAATAAACAAACAGTGGTGCACGGACACAGTGGATCATCCTCCTCCTTTCAGAGGAGGAAATCTTGTCCTGCAGGAAATGTAAATATGTATGAAAGCAGCTGGAACACTTGGATGGGACAAGATGGAGAGCTCCATATAACCTATCACTCACACAGATGAAAGTGAAATCTGAGCAGAGGGCACATTCTTCAGCACTCTTAGAAGGCCACACTGAGAGGCAGATTGGATTAAGTGCACAGCCTGATGGGGGTCAAGGTGGGTTTCTCACCTCACTTTCATCCTCCTCCAATGCAAGTGAAGTCTGGGTACCACTGAAAGGAAAACCAAGGGTGAATCCCTGTCTTTCTCCAGAAATGTGAGAAGGAAAATTTGGGGTATCAAGGAGAAGGTTATACCAATTTGTTTTGTTCATCTCACTTCACTGACAAAGCGGTCCTAATGTCTGCAGTGGATAAGGGATAACCTTGAAAATTACTATATTTCAGCCGGCGCCGTGGCTCACAAGGCTAATCCTCTGCCTAGCGGCGCCCACACACCGGGTTCTAGTCCCAGTCGGGGCGCCGGATTCTGTCCCGGTTGCCCCTCTTCCAGGCCAGCTCTCTGCTGTGGCCAGGGAGTGAAGTGGAGGATGGCCCAAGTGCTTGGGCTCTGCACCCCATGGGAGACCAGGAGAAGCACCTGGGTCCTGGCTCCTGCCATCGGATCAGCGCGGTGCGCCGGCCCCAGCGCACCGGCCGCGGCGGCCATTGGAGGGTGAACCAATGGCAAAGGAAGACCTTTCTCTCTCTCTCTCTCTCTCACTGTCCACTCTGCCTGTCAAAAAAAGAAAATCACTATATTTCAGCTAAAAATAACCAGAAAGCATTGTGTTCTCCAAGGAATGAGAGGAAAATCTCTAGTATCCCTTTCTCATACTATTTCACCTCACAGGTATTCTTGTCAGTGGATCTGGACCACGGCATGAGCGTAAACACCACTGAGAAGAACATACAAGAGCGGCACTTGCATAGGTCAGGAGAACTGTGCAAATCAGAGAGCTGCAGGGGACAAATAGTCTGCAGATGAATCAGCACAAGATGTGAGATCCCTCTGACTGCACATACACAGGCCACAGACCAGAGGAGGAAAGACTGCAGAACTGAGCCCCCACAGAACAAAGCAATTGACTTCCAGGTGACCTCTGAAGGGGACAAGGTCTGAGTGGACACAGCTCCATGAAAATGAATTGAAAACTGCACAAAGGTGCACCACTGTAGGACATGAGCCAAAACACCAAGATCAGTTAGATGTGCACTATGTGGTTTGCTTCACAGAGCAACAGAGAAGGAAATGAGCATCCTCCTGAGAGCTTTTAGTCTCCCACACTGTCCAGAATACCACGGAGCAGTACACAACAAACATAGAGATGACTAGGACAGTCTGATCAGCTCTCAAAGAAAAAGACCACCGATTGGCTCTGAACCTGTCCTCATAGAGGAATGACTAGGGACAGCATCTCCTCTAACCATTTCCAAAGAAGGAAAGGCAAATACTCTTGAAATTAATGGGAAGAAAATGTTCTGAGCAAACGAAGAATTACATGAAAAACACAAGCTGGCATGTCAGGCCTGAACGTACAAAATTCATATCAAAATGCAATGGATGGAATCAGGACCAGAGTGTAGAAAAAGGAAGGATCAGATTACATGCCAATCAACAGAAAGGTACAAGTTGAAGAACAAAGAGAAGGGAAGAAGCTGGAAGCTAAATGAATGGAGCCTCAGAGATGTGTGAACCAGAGCAAGAGTCTAATGTTTGGGAGCCTGAAATGGGGGGGAGGCATGGGGAGGAAGTGAACAAAATCTATAAAGAATCCAATGGCCAGGAAGATCACCCTTTTAGAAATACAATCCAAGTAGCTCAGAAGCATTACAGGGACATGTGAACATCCACAAAAAAAAGCGGGGGGGGGGATCTTGAAATCAGAGCCAATGGCACGCTCCCAACAAGGGAATACCCACATGAGAGGGTTTGACTTCTCATCAGAAAACACAAAGTCCACAGGATACTAGAACCCTGTCCTCCAAGTGCGGAAAGAAAAGACCTCCCCAGGATTCTCCAGGGAACCAAGACACCCTGAAGAATCTCAGCCCCCTATGCAGAAAAAGGAGGGGTGATGGACAAGAAGGAATACTAAGAGCAGTCATCAGAAGACCACTTGCTATCAAAACAGCACCAAGTGGATGGAATTCTTCAGGCTAAAGTGAAATCCTGCCCACAGGAAGTCTGGTACATCAGGAGTAATGAAGAGCAGGAGAAACGTTAAGGATTTAAATCACTGCTGGCTCTGTTTTCGCCCTTAAATTCTCTAAATGGCGTCTCAGAACCCAAAACAGAAAGCACAGACTCAGAGGGTGAGGCTCCGTTTGTACAAAGGTGACAACAAGGGGAACAGTCACAACAGAGCAGAAGGTCAAAGAATCGTGCGGCCCTAAGGTTTCATTACTCTGCCGAACAGGAAGAAAAGGGACTCTAATCAGATGGGAAAAGCAACAGGACCCACA